AGGATACAAATAGCATCACAGAGATGGACAACTCTCCAATCGTTGTTTTGAGTTCCTCCAGCGAGAATGGTGAAAGGAAGAGCAGCTCTGAACCCCCGCAGGCCCAAAATGGTGGTGTTTCTTGACAGGGATCATAGCAAGATCGATTTTTTCTTCGCTTGAACATGACTCAGGACCATGGATAAGACCCGCTTTTTGCTCGCGTAGATTCGGTGCTGATTGATAACCCTTGATTCGTGGTGTTCAAAGCTGGTGGGTATTATCCTTCTGGGGCTTGGTCTCCACTGCTGCAACAAGTTCCCAAAACTGAAAGCATGCAGTGACCAAGAGCATCCGATGCATGTCTTTCTTGGTACGTCATAAGATCTCCAGTACTCCAGTATTGTAGACAATGATCGCATTCGAACCCCCGAGCCCGCACCCGGACTCCAATTGAACCCGAACCTGAACCCGGACCCCCACTTGTGGTGTCGCCCAGCCGAACCCGAACCCGAACTCGGAATTCCCCCCCACCCGCGGCTGAACCCGAAGCCGAACGGCTTTGGGACCACCCGGGGTACTTACTGTATAGATTCCAATAGGTTTGATGGGCGCTGCCGAAGCTTCCCATGGGAAACGCGAATGCCGTGAGTTTTACACTTGGAGAGTGAAACATGGAGTATGGTGAAACGTGGGAAGTCGTAGGTTTTGGCTTTCCCGCAGAAGTTTGATTCGTTTTGAGATGAAATCTTCCCTTTCCCTTCTACACTGAAATAATGAGCAGAGAATTAAGGTAGGGAGGGTTGACCTCTACCTCTCGCTGACCCGGAGGGTTGAAGCTTCTGTTGCACAATCTGCGTATCGTCTCTTTCGAATGGGATGTCCGCAGGTTGAAGAGACTGCCGGCAAAGCCAAGGCTTCATGACATGTTTTTGATCGTCGGCAGTAGACGGAGGAAAGCCACATGCTGTTTGACTGCATCATGAGCTGTTCAATCCCACCTCTGAGAATGATTATATGATATATATATATATATATTACAATGTACTGTGTGTGTATAAAATAGAAAAATGGATGGTTCAGCGTTCCAACCCCCCTCCCCCCGCCCCATGGTCATGGTTCAGTAATAGTACTAACCCCCTCCCCCTTGGTGAGGTGGGGTGAGAAAGGTAAGGGGGGAAAAGGTTATCAATGGATGTATGACATATATACGTATTTATATATATATATATATGTATATCATATATGATTACATGTATATATATATATACCAGGATGTCCAAACGGGTGTCCAATAAGGACCCCTTAGAACGGGTGTCCATTAGGCACCCCTTAATTTTAAGGTCCTGAACAAACAGATAAAAGGTTTTGCAGCCGATAAGGGGCCTTTGGAATTTGATTCTAGGGTCCTTGGTGATTTAGTTCTACCTCTGATTGTGTGATGATAGATATTTTCCAATACTTATTTCTTATTTATCAAGGTAGGTGGCCTTGGTATATACTAGTGAAATTTATCCCAAAGGAAAAATCGTATTGGCTTAGTGTCCCTTGGATGTTTCAATATTAATATCAATTCTTATCCGTCATTTGGTAGGCATGCCAAGAAGGAGATTGATAATTAGCCTCTCCATCCATTTACCCTTCTACTCGTGGAAGTACCAGTCACCCTTCTACTCGTGGAAGTACCAGTCAGAACAAACGATCACCATTCGATCGTAGTTATTCGTAGTTCGCATATGTGTTTTTGGTTGAGTACTTAGAAAAAAATCAAATAAAATATTGTCATGCGACGGATTGGCGGGGGCGATGGATTTGGGGTCCCCCGAGCCAAAAGATCGGCAAAAAAAAATGCCTAAATCTCAAATGAAGGACCCCGAATCCATTGCGGGAAAAATCATGGTAGAATATAATAGTAAGGCTGCTTCCAATGTCCACATGTAAATTTCTGCACCCTGACATCGGCATTTTTTCCCCTAAATCCCAGGGTGCAACCTCCGTATTGCCCAAGTCTAGGTGCAGAAACCTGCACCTTGACTTAGGCAATACCCCACCAAGCACCTAGGATATCGGCAAAAAAATGCCTAAGTCAAGGTGCAAATTTCTGCACACTGAGTTCGGCAAAATTATAATTGGACATTGCATTTACTGTAAAGGACATAGATATAGACGTAGAAAAATTGGGAAATTTAGTACTCGAAAAAAGAGTGATCATCAGGGATAGTATTGGTGTCTTTATACCAAAGATATATGGGGGCACCACCCTAGAAGAAACATGAGCGTGGTTGATACAAGTACCTATATTCCATTTTAATCCAGCAATTGGTCGGGTACCCTTCCAGGGAAAGGGTAATGGACCCCGGAAAATCCAAAGCATATAATAGAAAATTCATCGTAATCGATACTGGGATGATGCCAATTTAATCAACAAATTGGTTGCCTAAAATGAAAATAATAATGCACATATGCTTATTCATGAACATGGTCGAAGTTTAGAAGTCAAACTTCCGACAATATGGACAGATTAAAAGCAGAGCAGGGCAGAGGCAGAGAGAAGAGAAAGATCAGAAGAGAGAAGAGTAGAAGAGAAAGAGTAAGCAGAAAGAAGATGGAAATGTGCGAAAAGGTTCACTGTGTTTTTCCAATGATTTGTGGCTCCGGAGGGTCGAAAAGTAGGCTCGCTAAAGCGGCCGGTGCGGAGCCAGCTGGCCGGAGGAGAGATGAAAAATTGCACGCCGTTGTGGTGCGAAGCACATTTCCACGTCAAAATGTACAAAACACACCACGTTCGGACCACTTTTGGAAGTTGAGATGTCCAAAAAGTGTACGCCGTTGTGGCGCGAAGCACATTTCCAAGTCAATATGTACAAAACACACCATTGTTGGACCACTTTTGGAAGGCGAGATGTCGAAAAAGTGCACGGCGTTGTGGCGCGAAGCACATTTCGAAGTCAAAATGTACAAAGCCCACCATTGTCGGACCACTTTTGGAAGTTGAGATGTCGCAAAAGTGCACGCCGCTTTGGCGCGAAGCACATTTCCCAGTCAAAATGTACAAAACACACCATGTACGGACCACTTTTGGCAGTTGAGATGTCGAAAATGTGCACGCCGTTGTGGCGCGAAGCACATTTCGAAGTCAAAATGTCCAAAACACACCATGTAAGGACCATTTTTGGACGTTCAGATGTCGTTTCGCGTGGCAGGCGCAAGGGATTGTGGACCTTGTCAAAAGTGAGCAAAACGTGAGGGTTTTGTGGCATTTTCAATTACAACCACCACTACACTACACTACACTCCAATACATTACACTACAACTACAACTACAACTACACCTTCACTACATTCTACTACACTACGCTCCACTACACTACACTGCACTCAATCACATTCAATTACACTACACTACACTACATTACACTACACTACACTCCACTACACTACACTACATTGCACTACACTACATTACACTACACTACACTACATTACACTACACTACACTACCTTCCACTACATTACACTACACTACACTCCACTACAACTACACCTACAACTACACACCACTACACTAAATTACACTACACCACATTAAACTACACTACGCTACATTCCACGACACTCCACTACACTACACTACATTACACTACACTACATTACACTGAATGACAGTGCACCACAGATAGACAGGTAGACAGATAGACAGATAGATAGATAGACAGATAGACAGGTAGACAGATAGACAGATAGACAGATAGACAGATAGACAGATAGACAGGTAGACAGATAGACAGATAGACAGATGAAAGAGAGACAGGTAGACAGATAGACAGATAGATAGATAGATGGATAGACAGGTAGACAGATAGACAGGTAGACAGATAGACAGATAGATAGATAGCTAGATAGATAGATAGATAGCTAGACAGATAGGTAGTCAGAGAAAGAGAGAGAAAGAGAGAGAAAGAGAGAGAGACCTCAACCACCTTTCGGTCCATCAGTGGTTTCGCTCTGCCATCCGTGATTCACAACAACCAGCCTCTCCTATAGGTTTCCTATTTTTGAAACTTCCGCCACCGCCTTGTGCGGTACTACTGGTAGAAAACAAGTAGATACATTAAATAATCAATGGTAAGATGATACCCATTTAATCAATCAGTTGGCTACCTCATAGGGGAAATATAAGCTACCTATAGTACAATTCAATTCCACCATATATAATTTTTTGGAAAGACCCAAGAATCCATTTCCAGAGACCCCAGATCAATTACAAAACCTTATAATGAGGTATTCTTAGTAGTATCTGCATTGTTCTTTGATTTCCCCACATTTGCTTCAAGACATGTGTCATGTCGTGTCATTAGAGTCATTGCCGTGTGGTGTCGGTCATAAGGGGTCTTGAGTTTTTTTGAGAAATCAAGAAAAACATGCGCGTCATTGCCTGTCATTGCCGTGTCGTGTCGGTCGGTAGGGGGTGTCCAGAAGCACCCCTTAGGCAAATGGGTGTCCAATAAGCTCAGGTGCTTTTTGGACAACCCCTGCGCGTGTCATATCGTGTCGATGTGTCGATTTTGACTAGTTTTTTTAAATTGGGAACATTTTACATCTGACACGAAATGACACGCATGCATTTCTTCTCGCCAAAAATGAAGCCAGGCGCACCACAGTTGCCACGCGGGTGGGATTGGAAGATTTCGGGTTGGAAGTAATCATTTTCTGGTGTGCCATCTCCATGAACGCTACGGGGTGACCATTAGGCACCCCTAAAGAATTTCAATTTTTAAAATTCACTAGGCATCCCTTTGAACGTGCGGTTATGTTACTTATATTATATTATATATATATATATTGTAATATATAATTCCCATATATATATAATATATGTATATATATATATTGTTATATTTATATATATATATATTTACATATATGGTATTTTGACGGTGTATGTGTACTATGTAGGTCGTCTAAAAGGTAGCATATACCTAGTAAATACGAGGTTAGACTTCAGAAATGCTGCACATAGTTTGCAAATACGAGGCTGGACCTCAGAAATGCTGCAAACTGTGTGCAGATAGAAGGGCCTGGGGCGCTACATGGGGACCCATATACCATTGGGGGCGGGAACGCGGAACGCGAGACAATACACCCTAATCCAACCCTGCCCATTCCGAATAGCTGTTTCAACTTCTGTTTTTTGATCAAACATTGAGATCCAAAGTCTTATATATGGTGTCAGGTGCTTTCAACCGTCTTACTCACAGGATACTGACCTTGCCCGAAGGAACTGCTGAGGTTCAGTTTTTTTCACCAGCCCATAGTCCCCATTTTTCTTAAAAATCATTCTCCTCATTTTTTTGATGAAAAACTGTTTGGCAATTTCCACAGAACAAAATATGATGAGAACGATTGCCTCTCGTGAGAACGATCTTTGTTTGAAATGCGCGAGAGAACCATGGTCATATTTTGTTGGGCCAAAAATGCCTTCAAACATGGCCCATGAGAACGATGAGTGACTTAACATGAATTTTCCCAGTGAGAATGTGCTTAGATACACACATTTTTTCCCGAACTGAGCTGAGCAGAATTGGAGAAGAAACCTTTACTCTTTGGGCCATTTCGGCTACTAACTTGCTCTGTTTGGGCACAGCTGTTGACTCCTGTTGCCTCCTGTCTTCTTTCCCGGAGGCGAAGCCAAAGACCACGGTCATGTTGAGGAACTTGCCGAACAACTACACCAGGCAGTAGCGCAAGGATTGTTGACGACTTTTCTTCAGCTTTGCCTTGACTTTTCAGGCTGAGGTCGATGAACCTCGTGCATGCTATAGCATTGATAGTTGCTGTAGGCGTATGTGATCATGAAAACTAGTTTCTGCTAGCTGAAGTCCTTCTTGCTTTAGGCTGGAATCGCCAATCACATGAAACTTCACAGTTGCCTACCCCCTTGGTTTTTTGGAAACAGTTTTCCTGTGGCTCAATCGTCGCGAGATCATCGCAATCAGGATCATCCGCATCATCATACGTACCCTCCACTTCGTGGCTACCAATTCCTTACCTTCAGCATCCTCCCTCCTTTTCCCTCTACGTTCCCATCTAGTTTGCGTCCCTCAACCCTTGGCCTCATGTATTTCATATATATATATATGTGTGTGTGTGTAATTTCTATATATACAATTGATATATATATATATAAACTACGTATATATTTATATATATATATACCAGTAGTACCGCACAAGGCGGTGGCGGAAGTTTCAAAAATAGGAAACCTATAGGAGAGGCTGGTTGTTGTGAGTTACGGATGACAGAGCGAAGCCACTGATGGACCGACAGGTGGTGGAGGTCTCCTCTCTTTCTTTCTTTCTCTCTCTCTCTCTCTCTCTCTCTTTCTTTCTCTTTCTCTGACTATCTACCTACCTACCTACCTACCTATCTATCTATCTGTCTTTCTATCTGTCTGTCTATCTCTGTATCTATCTGTCTATCTATCTATCTATCTATCTGCAAGCTTGAAAACTCTGTCTGTCTGTCTATCTATCTACCTATCTATCTATCTATCTATCTGTCTATTTATCCATGCATCTATCTATCCATCTATCTTTCTACCTACTGGGTTCATGTCGTTTCTTGTCTCGTCTCCCCTGAAGTTGTCTCAGGTCGGTGTGCCGTGGGGAAGTGTGTATAAAAGATGTATATGACATTATTGTTCCATTGGATCATTGCTTATTGTAAGACCACAAAACGCATAGGCACGCTGAATTTCACCAACATGAACCTTCCATTTGTAGTCATCAACCTTCTTATGGTTTGTTTGTCCATTGCAGGGCACACAACGCAGGGATACACTGGTTGTCATAAACATGTTTGTTTATTACTTGGTTTGATACTTGTGGCATCCAAACGCAGTGGCATGCTCGGTCAAAGAGAATATGTGGCACTGGGTATTTCAATGCTGTTGTTGCTTGTGCTGCTGCTTCTGAATTAGTCCACTTTGACCATCGGTGTGCCAATAGGATTTCCACCTGGCGGAAGATTATTGATGTTTGGCGTAAGCGGTGTGCCATGCGGCTGGCGCAAGTCTAGTAAATGGCGTGGGATCACGCCAGGGCTCGGGTCAGGGATGCTTTGCACGATTTATTTGGCACTAGGTGTGCCGTTGGGAAACAGATAACTAAACTACCGAAATCAAACGAATCCATGTCCACAGACATGACAAGGAAACGGGGCGTGTGCTGCAGAATTGGTTACTTTTCTCATTTGGATAGAAGGCAGCTGTTTTGCTGTCAATGCGTGTGTGCCAATGGCGGTTGCTTACTTTCGACATGGGTTTATTACCAAAGGAGATGGTATTAAATATGTGGTTCGCAATGGCACGGACGCACTTTAAATATTTTGTTTGCCAAACCAACGATGATGTGGCACCAGTGTGCCAATAGGATTTGGTCCCTGGGGTAACTTCCGGTTGGCCTGGGGTAACCCTGTGTGCCATTGGGATGGGGTAACTTCTAGGTGCCTGGGGTAAGAAACAACGTCCGCCCAGTATCTATCTATCTATCAACTATCTGTCTGTCTGTCTGTCTATCTATCTGTCTATCGGTCTATCTGTCTATCTATCTATCTATCTATCTATCTGTCTATCTGCAAGCTTGAAAACCTAGCTATTTTGCGAGACTTCTTGATTTTTTCAAAGTTGACAACATCAAAAAACGCAGCAATTCCGCATGACTTCCTCATTTTTCAAAGTTGACAACATGAAAAACGAAGCAGTTCTGCGAGACTTCCTCATTTTTCGAAGTTGACAACATCAAAAACGAAGCAATTCTGCGACACTTCTTCATTTTTTGGACTGGACAACATCCAAAATGAAGCAATTCTGCGATACTTATTCAATTTTTGAATTTGACAACATCAAAAAAAACAAGTCTGCGAGACTTCCTTCAAAAACGGAAAGTTGAGTGCAGAGCTGACAGCCTCGTACCAATGCGTTTTGCCATTTTTCCAGCCCACCTGTCGAAAGTATTGCTTGTGCCACGAAAAAGTCATGCCAGGTCATATGAAGTGCTGCACCTGTCACGCAAAATCATCTCAGGAAATCAGCGTCCTCACCTCCTAACAGCTCCGATCAAGATGTCTCTTGTACTGCGCCTGCCACGGAAAATGCATCTTTGCAGATCCTCTTCAAATGTCCCACGCTTGCCATAATGCTACAAAACCCTCACAATTTGCTCACTTTAGACAAGGTGCTAAATCCCTTGCGCCTGCCACGCGAAACGAGATCTGAACGTCCAAAAGTGGTCCGTACATGGTGTGCTTTGTCCATTTTGACTTGGAAATGTGCTTCGCGCCGCAACGGCGTGCACTTTTGCGACATCTCAACTTCCAAAAGTGGTCCGAAGCTGGTGTGTTTTGTACATTTTGACTTCGACATGTGCTTCGCGCCACAACGGCGTGCACTTTTTCGACATCGCAACTTCCAAAAGTGCTCCGACCGTGCGGTGCTTTTAGCTTTTTCACTTGCAAATGCGCTTCGCGCCACAACGGCGTGCACTTTTGCGACATCGCAGCTTCCAAAAGTGGTCCGACAATGGTGTGCTTTGTACATTTTGACTTCGAAATGTGCTTCGCGCCACAACGGCGTGCACTTTTTCATCTCTCATCTGGCCAGCTGGCTCCGCACCCGCCGCTTTAGCGAGCCTACTGTTCGACCCTCCGGAGCCAGAAATCATTGGAAAAACATAGTGTTTCGCGACTTTCCTACCTTTTCGCGCACTTGCATCTTCTTTCTTCTCACTCTTTCCCTTCTCTGATCTTCTCTCTTCTGACTCTTTCTCTTCTCTGATCTTCTCTCTTCTCCTCTTCTCTCTTCTACTCTTCTCTTCTCTCTGACCCTTTCCATCTCTTCTTTTCACTTGTCCATATTGTCGGAAGTTTGACTTCTAAACTTCCTTCGAATATATATATGTATATATATATATATAGATAGATCTTGTTTTATATCATTATATTTGAGCAACGGCTTTTAGTTGCGAACAGGTACAGTAGGAAGAAACACTTCCTTTTTGACCTTCAGAATTAGGCTTTGAAAAACGAGGTAGGACAAAATTGAAGACTTAACAAAGACAAAAATATGTGGAGATGGCAAACGAGGTCAAGGATCAAAACGTTGTATATAAGGGAATGGAAAAGAGGTCCACCCTGCCTTTGCAGAACCCCCAAATAACTTCTGCGGTTCATATACATGTATCGGAGATGTCCTTTTCTGTATATGCTAATGCTACACATCATGCGTGTGTGTTTGTCTGTGTGTGTGCACGCCTGCAAAATTGAACAGAGTTGGATGAAGTGTTTTGCAATGAAAGGACAGTAGCCAAGAGTCTACCAACCATATTCAGAATTTGCACTCAGTTTCTCTTGGTGATGATTTTGTCCAGCGCCTGTATTTGTGCCTCTATTGCCTCAGCCGTTTAGAGGTCTATGCTCCTCCATTTGCTCGATGAGCAGGGCTTTGGGGGGAACCTCGACAGCCTTACAGATATCTTCAATCTCTGATCCATTTTGACTTTGGGTTTTGATTGAATTTGATTCACTGCATCGCAAACTGTGTCTAGTATTTTGATGCTTTGGTAGGTAAAAGATGTCAACCTGCCTGAATACAAAAGAATAAAAACATGTGAGAACATTGGTTGAATAGGTTCATATCGGCTCACATGGGCTCTTGTAAGTTTTTTGCTTTTGGGTATCCTTGGGTATCCTTGGACTAACCTTAGGAAGTATGATTTCCTCTACTTGCCCATCGACTTCGACCGCAAGGCCAACTTGGGCTATGCCTTCGTCAACCTGGTGGACGAGGAAAGCCATGGGAAAACTTTCGGCCACCTCGGACATCCAGAGTCGCCTCCATTGCCTCCATCTCCATCGGACCTGTTCTGTTCTGATCTCGAGATCTTTGATTTGACCATTGCAATTATCATGATTTGATGAGTTTTGATTGCAAAATGAGATCAATGAACTTGACATAACTTGACCAACAGGAGGACGTGGATGAATTTTGGAGCAGTTTCGATGGCTTTGGGTCTTGGTCCTTTCCCTCTTCTAAGGCCACGGCATCAGCGCTCTGTGGGCGGTATTTGACAATTGGAATACTCACATAAATACGTAGAATATCTATAAAATTCTATGAATATGGTAGAACACCAAAAGGACCATTCTTTAGAGGCATTCTTTAGACGCGTTCTTTGCAAAGTTGTTCTATTCTGAAATGGCCGTGTTCACACATATCTGTCTCAGATTGGTTCATGTACAGCAAGGATACAAAGCGCATTCCAGTCTAAGCATCCTCTGGCTTTGGTGTTTGATACGTCAATGATAAGTACCGGAATTCCGGCATTCACCAATCCTTGTTGCTTATGGGCCCTCTTTGAACAAGTTTTATTGCTGTCTCCTGATCCAGATATCTGGGAAAACCCATCCAATTGTACTATACACGCTGAGCCCATCAATGAGACATGATGAGACCGTGTGCTGGAGGTTTGCCAAGTGAGCTGGAGTGGTCCCAAACAGGGGCTGAAAGCTCATGTGGATCGCTACAAAAATAGTCCTGTGATGCACAAGAGACTCGTCGGAACTAGGCAATGACCTTTCATAGGCTTTTGAAAAGAGTTCAGCTCAACAATCCCCAGATTGAGAGCTCCTAAGAGTATGTGCTCGTATCTTTTCGTGGAGTTCCACAGCCGTGTGATTGGACCGGAAATGAAAGCGCAGAATGAATGATAAGTCCAAGAGCTTGTTCACTGCTTCTTCTTTGCTGCTTGGATTTCGTTCCAAGATTTGACAACAAGACGCTGTGTGATGTAGTGTCAGGACCGGGATAGACTAGGAAGAATCCATCTCAAGGCATTGGAGATTGCAGTAAAGTCATGTAAAGTCCCTGCCCAAGATTGTAAGGCAATCTAATATAAGGCATTCAAGAAGTATAGTAGCACCCTTGCATTGAAGTCAAAAGGAGGGCTTGCAGTGGGGCGTTTTTTCAAGGGTATCCGGTCCATTTGCAATGTGCAATATTGTGCAATATTGTGCATGGGTAAAGATGAATTGATTGCGGATGCGGTGCCAAGGAGTGTTCCTGACGAATACAAGCCCATGATTCTCTCGCAGGGCATCCCGAAACGCTTCCCAGCGCCGACTATTCGAGTCCAACACCCCAAGAAGGCGCCTGAATGCGCCTGGAACATGGCTAGTAGATGCTACTGGTAGTAGTAATTAGATGTAACTACTAGCAATTAGATGCAACTAGCAGCTTAGTGTCATGCACCCTGCCGGTGGTCATCATGGCCATTGGCCTATGATGAAACCATCCTTTTGCCGCAGCTTTGCAATATTGGAACGTAGATGCGCAGCAGAAGATATTGCCATGTGCAAGCAGCCACCAAAGCTGAAAAAAATGGATGTGCATAGTGTGAATGGCATTCTGATAGGTAAAGGATATTTAGCCAGATTAACCGGTGGAATTGGTTGTATACCCTAACTTCAGGCAGACTGAACCGAACCAGTGAATCTCAAGTGGCATCACCCTTGATATTTTTTACATTCGCAGCTGATCGGCTCCGCTGCTAAGTGGCGTTGCAGGCTGGCAAGCACTGACTTTGACTGACTTCCAATTCTGGCTACAGCAGTTTGAGCCACTTGGCTTACTCTGAGAAGTTCGACAATGTCAGATGCTCTGAATTGGTTTCAAGATGGGCATGCAATGGGAGAGAGATGCAGAGAAGTGTGGTCATGAATCTTGTTAGGGCCTCAGGACCATGCATTCGCATCGTTAGATATCGTTGGCATCTATTTCCATCCTGATTCTCACGCTTGCTTCTTTGTTGTTCACAACGCTGTTTCTATGATGTGCGTGGCATTTGCTTGTCCTGGTCTTATAGAGAAACTAAACTGTTTCTCTGTTTCTCTAAAAATTTATCTATGTTTCTTTACTGTTGTTGTCCACGTTGTCCAAGTTGTCACAGCGAGGCCGCACGAGGCCGTATGATGCCGCATGCGGTTGTTGTAAAGTCTGATGCCAAGGAGGCAGGGCCAAGGTAGTGCCACCAAGAGGTTTGGGTGTACATCTCAGCCGCACATCGCATTTTGCACACAGTCTTGCATTGTTTGCACCAGCTATGCAATCAGAATACGTGTGCCACGCAGTATAGGTCTTATGATCATCTACGGTTCCAGTGTACTTCCTGCTTGATATTCTTGATCCAACTTAATATTTTGCTGTTTGGGTGTTGGAAAGAAGCACCGACATTGTCGCTGCTAATGGTTTCCAAAAATCACAACCAAAGATTCAAGTCGAATCCTCTTCCCTGTTGGTGGACCCACTTTCCCAATCAACAGTGAAGCAGTAGCTTTTATTTAGCCTGTTCACTTGTAGTTTAATCTCCATGATATCAGTTCAATTGTTCATGATTTCGTCTGAAGTCGTTATCGTTGAGATATGATTTCACTATAATTCAATGCATTACATGTGTGCAATTGAGCGTGGGCTTTGTGTGTGCGCCTATTTTCAACCTTTGTATCCAGATGCGTCACCCGCAGCCTAAGAAACGCTGCTCTGTCGCTCATAGCTGTTCATCTGCCCAGCACGCCTGTGTTGGAGGGAACAGATTCATCATCATTCATATAGTTAATATGACAACGAGATACAACAAGCCGTTCGTTGAATGCTTCTGAAGTGTCTTGCTCATAGAAACTTGAGTTGCGCCAATACAGCAAGAGACCATGCATTGACGTGTGTTTTTCTCCTTTCAATCGAAGTTCGAAAAAGTACGCAGTGTAAGTTGCGAGCCTTGCTGGCGTGAAGCGGTAGACAATACTCTAGACTCTAGCCACCTATAGCCATCATTAGCCATCTAAAGCCACAGCCACCTTCAATTCCAACCACACTTGAATTTGTGGGTTACTGGTGTTCCAATGTTGTGGCATCCAGACAGAATCATTCATGACAACGCTGCTAAACTGCCAAACGAATCGAGGGAAGTGCTGGATGGATGACATATGTTGAAATTATTTGAATAATTCAATTCGTCTTGCACGCCATGCCCTTCTTGCCTCACATTGACATGGTGAAGAAGAGGTGACATCAAATCTCAACAATATCTACGACGTCTCAGCAGAGGGAGATTCGGATCTCCCAGCTTTTCCCAGTCCGGCTGGCTGAATAAAAGGTAAATGAACGGAAACAGAATACTTGTATTATGGAATAGGCACAACATGATTACTTTCTCAGAATGCTGGTCTTCCAATGACAGAATCAGTATACAGTATACTTCGCAGTAATCAGCATAAGCTGGGCCGATGCCTCGTACTGGTGTATTTGCAGAGTCAAATCCAGACCAGAATGGCCCACTTTCCAGATGACAACTGATTCTTGGCAACACGAAGAATGCCGGAACTGCGACACGGAAATTGCAGCTTTGCCGGTGTCAACTGCTGAATCATACTCACCCCTGCACCCCTTATCACAATTATTGAATTATAGTTGTATTGTGTATGTTATAGGGAGTTTGCATGAGTTTGCAACTAGTGTTTCAAGCGGCCTTTAATTCATCCCCTTGAGTTTTTGACCACCTAAGTCGCTTTTTCCCACACCAAGGGGCATGCTAGATCATGCTAGAATCTTGATTTATCACATCATGGAAGTCTTCCAGCCAGCATGTGAAAGAGGGCCTTCCTGATGGTCAGCCGCTGATGATGATTCCTTTGTGACGCATTTTGTGCCTTCTCTGAGAGTACCACAGTACCACCAAGATATACCAGGATCATCAGGCTACGGCACTGATACGTGTTTCATTTCCCAAAGGGTTGGGGCTCAAAGACCTCAGCGCCGTCCTGCACAGCACCCCATGACAAGCTCCGAAGTGTGGCAAGTGGTCAAGGCTCAGTCACTCAGCAATGCCCGTCTTGCCATGCATTTACCTTGTATTTACACAATAATCGAAGGATGTTTAGAAGTCAAACTTCCGACAATAGGGACAGATGGAAAAGCAGTGGTGGGCAGAGGCAGAGAGAAGAGAAAGCTTAGAAGAGAGAAAGAGTCAGAAGAAAGAAGATGCAGGCGCGCAAAAAGGTACTGTAGCAAAGTCGCGACTCACTCTGTTTTCCATGATTTGTGGCTCCGGAGGGTCGAAAAGTAGGCTCGCTAAAGCGGCGGGTGCAGAGCCATGTGGCCATGCGAGATGAAGAATTGCACGTCGTTGTGCCGCGAAGCACATTTCCAAGTCAAAATGTACAAAGCACACCAGGTTCGGACCGCTTTTGGAAGTTGAGATGTTCAAAAAGCGCACGCCGTTGTGGCGCGAAGCACATTTGGAAGTCAAAATGTACAAAGCACATTCGGACATCACCACCCTTTTCGTGGGGTGTAAGCAAGGGGGGCGTTCAAAAAGTGTAAGCAACAATTTTGACCCCTGCGTATTTTTTCCCGATGGGGAAGGCTATTTGTATCTTAGACCCCTCCTACGTCAAAAACCGTGCCCCGGAAGATTTACATTTAGGGAGGGGGGGGTGAAAGTCCGTAAGAGATAGGTCACCCCGTACCCCCCTCCGAACCCCCCCCGTACTCTACGGATAGGGGGCTGTAGCATTTCCAAAAACAATGGCAGGCATGCGGCATTTGAAGAGGAGCTGGAAAGATGAATTTCGCGTGGCAGGTGCAGTACAAGAGAAATGTCCATCAGAGATGTTAGGAGGTCAGGGCGCTGATTTCCTGAGAGTGGGTTGCATTTTGGAGCATCAGATCTTCAAGTTTGCCAAGATGATTTTGTGTGGCAGGTGCAGCACTTCGTACGACCTGGCATCACTTTTTTGAAAAATCGCAAAACGCACTGGTACGAGGCCGTCAGCTCTGCACTCAACTTTCCATCTTTGAAGGACGTCTCGCAGAATTGTTTCGTTTTTGATGTTGTCAACCTCAAACTGAGGAAGTCTCGCAGAATTGTTTCGTTTTTGACGTTGTCAAGTCAAAAATTGAGAAAGCCTCGCAGAATAGCTTTGTTTTCATGCTCGCAGAAAGAAAGAAAGATAGATAGATAGGTAGATGATAGATAGATAGATAGATAGATAGATAGATAGATAGATAGATAGATAGATAGATAGATAGATAGATAGATAGATAGATAGATAGATAGATAGATAGATAGATAGATAGATAGATAGATAGATAGGCAACTACAACTACCACTGCCAGCACACTACAGCAACAACAACAACTACTACTACTACTCCTCCTCCTGCTGCTGCTACTACTACTACTACTTCTACTACTACCACTACCACTACTCTCTACTATCTACTATCTACTATCTACTATCTACTATCTACCTATCTACTATCTACTATCTACCTATCTACTATCTACCTATCTACTATCTACTACTACTACTACTACTATTACTACTACTACTACTACTACTACTACTACTACTACTACACTACAACTACACCACACTACACTACAACTACAACTACACTACTTCATACAGACTACACTAGACTGCACTACACTATACGACACTAAGAACACACAACACGAGAGTACACTACACTACAGTACACCGCGCTACATTACACTACATTACCCTACACTACTTTACATTTAAAACTACAGTACTACACTAATTGCACTACACTACAACATACTACAACTATAACTCCACTACAGTACAACTACAACTACAGCTGCGCTACACCACACTACGTCCAGCAGTTGTGGGTGAGGTGACCACTGCAACCATTGCAACCATTCCAAAAAACATAACTCCGACCACCTTTCGGTCCGGCAATCGGTTCGCTCTGCCATCCGTGATTCACAACAACCAATCTCTCATAGGTTTCCTATTTTTGAAACTTCCGCCACAGCCTTGTGCGGCACTATTGGTATTTATATACATAACTTAACATTGGACGATATTAGATTTGATTTCGTTTGCTTTAGCCCACACGCAAAGCAATCGCTTCTTTCCACCGATTGGGTCGTGTTGTTCCTGGCCACCGTGTTCGCACAAACAATGCGGAATGTGAATATGATTCGGATATGGTTGGAAGATGTTGGAAGTGAGTAGACAGTTCGGTTATTAGCCATTGAATCAGCCATGCAGGGTGACAGCGACAAGGAAACGACGCCAGGAAGCTCCCCGAGGCTGCATGCAATTGAGGTTTGTTTGCTTGCTGACGTGTAGCAAAAAGGTGAGTTGAGAAACCCCATGCTACTCTTGTTTCAAACATTTATTCCTTTACATGTCATTTGGATTTTTGATCCATAAGACGGCTCTGCAATAAATTTGGTTTGATGCTGTCAATGCAGATGAATTACTAGTAATGAAACAAATATCAAATATTTATAAGTTCATAGTCACAGGCCAGGCAAGTGTTGAAAAAGACGAAGGTTTTGTACAAGTTGAAAGTTTCTATGTTTACATCCAAATTCACAAACATTTCCAGGAATTGACGTTTGCTTCTAGATGAGTTGCTAGATTTCAATTGTTCAGCCCCAGAAAAAGAATTGCGGATTCCATTATATTGTGTATGGTCCGTATGGTGCACAATGACTTGATAGTTTGCACCCACGACATTGGAAAGACTCACGCGCAGAAATGCAACAGTTTGTGAATGTAGACAGAGCAACAGTTTGAAACGGCCCCCCTTGCCCCTCACCATTTTTGGAAGATAAATACTAAAAATATCGACAAATCGGCAGTGGAACGTACCTTAACATGGTTCACATTCGATCACCATCGATCCCAAGATGTTTCAAGAGAGGGGAAGTTACAGTATAGGCGATCCAGTTTGTGACTACATTATTTTGTAGCGCTACTGTAGTGGGAGTTGGCTTCTCAGACTCCATAGATATCCCACGCTGGGATCGTCGGAGATCCCTTTGTCACTTGGTAGGACCGGTAGGATGCAAGAGGATTCGGAGGTTGGGTGTACTTGCGGCTCCCGATGGGTCCATGGGAGAATTCTGGCCCTTCACCTGGATGGCTTCTCTTGTGACTCGAGAATTATCAATTCGAATTGGCACCCTCAACATGTCTCAGCAAATCTCAATAGGATTGCTCATCTGGACCATGGTGCGTAGATCACCTTACATGGTTTTGTTGGACTTTTCTCTTG